ACGAATATATGATGTTATACACGCTATCATCGTATGTATATAGAGGGGTGATTTTATTCTATACGAATATATGATGTTATACACGCTATCATCGTATGTATATAGAGGGGAGATTTTATTCTATACGAATATATGATGTTATACACGCTATCATCGTATGTATATAGAGGGTTGATTTTATTCTCTATACGAATATATGATGTTATACACGCTATCATCGTATGTATATAGAGGGGTGATTTTATTCTCTATACGAATATATGATGTTATACACGCTATCATCGTATGTATATAGAGGGGTGATTTTATTCTCTATACGAATATATGATGTTATACACGCTATCATCGTATGTATATAGAGGGGTGATTTTATTCTATACGAATATATGATGTTATACACGCTATCATCGTATGTATATAGAGGGGTGATTTTATTCTCTATACGAATATATGATGTTATACACGCTATCATCGTATGTATATAGAGGGGTGATTTTATTCTATACGAATATATGATGTTATACACGCTATCATCGTATGTATATAGAGGGCTGATTTTATTCTATACGAATATATGATGTTATACACGCTATCATCGTATGTATGTATATAGAGGGGTGATTTTATTCTCTATACGAATATATGATGTTATACACGCTATCATCGTATGTATATAGAGGGGTGATTTTATTCTATACGAATATATGATGTTATACACGCTATCATCGTATGTATATAGAGGGGTGATTTTATTCTATACGAATATATGATGTTTATACACGCTATCATCGTATGTATATAGAGGGGTGATTTTATTCTATACGAATATATTATGTTATACACGCTATCATCGAGTTCCTGTGTACAATCACACACAATACAATACTATCGATTCGATAAAATACAATGCAATATACCTATCAATAATATGAGTCATTTTGCATGTGTGATAGCGCCAACATGGAGACTGTCATATCACAGGGTGTGTGGTAACCTGACCCGTATTACACGCTTTGCTGGGCTCATAGAGCTTGTCAATGCATTTTGAATGGGCGAATATCAGAGTATATGAGAAATTAGAGTTATGTCCCTTTGTTGTGTCGTCTGCTCGCCTGCTCAGCTGGCTTTCCCGTGACAATGACCTCCAAACAAGGTGAACATGTTTTACATTTACTTGCAAATAGATGCATTTTACAATTTGATGTTATTGTATATGATAAAAAGGTTGAAATATGGCAGTTTTCATTTCACACCTCATATCAACCCTCGGAACTCGTTCCCACATGGGCCGGGGCTGATATGGGAGTCTCGGGGTGATATTTGGTGGGATGGGAACGGGAGTGAATAACAATCTACCGTCAGATTCATCTGTACTGATATTGTATATATGGAATTTCTAAGGCCTGGATGATTTTCTTTCTTCGGCCATTTTCCCCACTGATCAGACAGCAGGTGATTCCAAATGAATCTGTATTTATCTTCATCTAGACCTGAACATTAATTTTCAAAGGAAACGTGTGTATCACATGAAACGTTTATGAATGTATACAGATGTGTTTCAATGAACAAACCTATATAAGGTATTAATTCTTGTTTGGGAAACAAACTTATGCATAATGGATTAAAAGTAGAACCTTAAGTGGGTGAGTGTGGTTTTACGCCGCTTTTAGCAATATTCCAGCAATATCACGGCGGGTGACACCAGAAATGGGATTCACACATTGTACCCATGTCGGGAAGCGAACCCGGGCCGGGTCTTCGGCGTGACGAGCGAATGCTTTCACCACTAGGCTACCCGTCGGCCCTTTAGAACTTTAAAGTCAAAGTACATGAACCGCATCAGCCAATAAAATTCCAAAATGTGTCAGTATTCACGGGTTTCAAAACAATTTGTTGTGTTACTTGTTCAGGTAGGACCACGTGGATAATAACAATTCACCAAATATATATTTACCTGTGAATATTCTTGGGGGCTTAGGCACCGGGTTCACGCTCCGTCCCGCCATGCGATGAGTGTTGTGCTGTACAGAGAATCAAGATTGAACACTCGCCATCAAACACAATCAGTTCAACATTCCATCAAGCAGTCAGTTTAACACCCGCCATCAAACAAAGTTAGTTCCACACCGGCCATCGAGCACATTCAGTATAACGCTCCATCAGTCAGTCAGTTCAACACCCGCCATCAAACAGTCAGTTTAACACTCGCCATTAAACACTGTCAGTTCAACATTCCATCAAGCAGTCAGTTTAACAATCCGCCAAACACACTCGCAAAGAAACACAGTCAGTACAACACCCACCAACAAACACAGTCAGTACAAAACTCGCCATCAAACACTGTCAGTACAAAATTCGCCATCAAACACAGTCAGTACAAAACTCGACATCAAACACTGTCAGTACAAAACTCGCCATCAAACACTGTCAGCTCTGGCTGGGCCCCGCAGGATACTCGGTTAATTCCCCAGTTCTGTGCGCAGTGCAAGAACCAACTTAACACGTAGCAGTTTGTACACGAAATCGAACATTAGTCATCGCCAATAAGCAGGGGGAGATCCACCTGTGATCTGTTGCATTTTCGGTTGAGCTATGAATAAAAACAGGAAACATATTTCAGCGTTGACATGGGCTGTTAGTCATACCGTCTGACAATGGCAGAGTTTAATGTATCATGCCTATCCTAGGTTTAAAATGAGAGGTCTTGGGAGGGAGTCGGTATGTCATATATGTTACAGTCAATGTATAAAATAAGTAAATATGTAAAATGACTGAAATGTTCACTTAGAAAATTTAGCAAAACGTCTTTTTGAAAAATCTCTCCATTTATTTAATATGACGAATTCCAAACATTTTTACGTTTAAACTTTTCACCCAGGAACTATAAATGATAGTAATAAAAGAAAACGAAAGTCAATGGAGGTTATCACGCGAGTGTGTTTGGGGGATGGTAAATATCCCGTATTAGGAATAAACATTGTATTTAGCGATCTGGTCATGCATACACTGAAGCTGACTGAAGTTTTATCTTTATTCAAACCTATAAAGGTCAGAAGGAATGTGTGCATAGTCGGAAAGAAATGTGAACATTTGTCACTTATAGAGTAACCATAGAGTTCTAGATATATTTTGCCATTAAACAATATAATCACGTGACTAACCACGGGTCCGGCTAGTCCTGTGGGTACCCGGGTCCTACTCTGTACCCACCCGACCCGAGTACCCGAGTTTTGACACGATCGCCAAATGTCACATTACCAGGTGAAGTATATGCAGACTGTATCCACCTATTCCTCGACATAACGCATTAACAGGTGAAGTATATGCAGAGTGTATACACCCCTTCCTCGACATAACCCATTACCAGGTGAAGTATATGCAACATGTATCCAACAGTTCCTCGACATAACGTCTGGCACGTGAAGTATATGCAGCCTGTATCCACCTCTTCCTCGACATAACGCATTAAAAGGTGTAGTATATGCAGCATGTATCCAACAGTTCCTCGACATAACGCATTATCAGGTTAAGTATATGCCGCCTGTATCCATCCCTTCCTCGACATAACGCATTACCAGGTGAAGTATATGCAACATGTATCCACAGTTCCTCGACATAACGCATTACCAGGTAAAGTATATGCATCATGCATCCAACAGTTCCTCGATATCACGCATTATCAGGTTAAGTATATGCCGCCTGTATCCATCCCTTCCTCGACATAACGCATTACCAGGTGAAGTATATGCAACATGTATCCACAGTTCCTCGACATAACGCATTACCAGGTAAAGTATATGCATCATGCATCCAACAGTTCCTCGATATAACGCATTATCAGGTGAAGTATATGCAGACTGTATACAACCCTTCCTCGACATAACGCATGACCAGGTGAAGTATATGCAACATGTATCCACAGTTCCTCGACATAACGTATTACCAGGTGAAGTATATGCATCATGCATCCAACAGTTCCTCGACATAACGCATTAACAAGTGAAGTATATGCCGCCTGTTTCCACCCATTCCCCGACATAACGTGCTACCAGGTGAAGTATATGCCGCCTGTATCAATAGACGGAAAGGTAAGCCTTGTGTCCTACTTTTCAAGTGTGCATAACACCTGTAGATCTACAGCAATGTCAAGCTGACACTCAAATACCAAACTTAGTGGGACAATCCAAGCGTTTGATACGTATATTCCACAGGCAGAAACTCGCTCCACGTTCAGGAAGAGAAGTCAATACACACCAATCTATATTCATACATTTCGTCCTCGATTCCTTCTCACGCAGACTTTTAACCCACCACAGGCAGAAATACAGAGTAGCCATACTACACGGGGAATCCCAACTGATATACGTCAGTTTGTTTCATTTCACAAAGTGCTGCACAGTTACACACACACACACGCACGCACGCACGCACACACGCACGCACGCACGCACGCACGCACGCACACAAACACACACACACACACAAACACACACACAGAAACCACAGACACGTATGAATCATATCAACTGATGCATACTGTGTAATGACACACGCACATGCACACAGCCACATACATGCACACAGACACAAACACATATCACACATATACATACACAGGCATGCGCGCGCACAAATATACACACACGCACACTCACACACGCGCGCGCACACACACACACACCACATACACACTGACATACACACTGACATACACCTTAAATACTTACATTCATATCACTCACACACACACGCGCGCACGCAAGCACGCACGCACGAACGCACGCACGAACGCACGAACGCACGCACGCACGCACGCACGCACACATACACAACATATACCCACATACATCACACAACACACGCACATCCACACACACGTATGAACCATATCAACTGTGTACAGTGTTATGAGTTTCGAGACCGGCCCCTGTTACTGCCAGCGTCTCAGCTTGTTGACCGCCTGTTCACACACGCACAATGACACCGGCAGCGAGTGACTTGTATGCTTCATTGCTGTAGCAGAAGCGTGTCTTACCTCAGGGCTACGCGAGGTAACAGTAAATTCTATTTTAGGATCAACTTTGTCAATGAGTACCCCAGCCGACTCGTTGGTCACCAGTATGCTGTCATCAATATCCGGTGCCCCCTATGACGAGCTTGTAACGTAGATACTCTCAGTATAGAAGTACTACACTAAGACACTACAGGGACGGAAAATCGTTGAATATGGAAGGTAAGCAATATCACACAGCACCCGTAATGGAGATGCAGGTATAGAATACACTGCAGATGTTGACAAAGACGCAATGGGTCAATGTCAGGCCAAACAAGTATGATTCAACTTATTGAAAACACACTTTATTTGCCAGCTCAGATTTGATAACATATATCGACATAATGTGTTGACATGGGTAGGGCACCTCACCCTGTGGCATAGTTTACCTTGGACGAAGGTTAGTTACTAATAGTTACCTGAGTTCTCTGTCATTCAGCCGTAGCTTGTGTCGCCCATGGTTGAGATAGCGTGTTGGGGCACTGTATAGAGATATTGTGTTGCATGTGAAAGCTTCCTTCTGGTGTAACACCCACTGACGTATGAAGGAAGTCGGTGGGGCACGGTTTGTGCTCCTGCAGATACGATATTAAATGTAGGTCACAGCTTTTGGCGATGTTTACCCTTTCAAATAGCTCTTACGAAACGGGGGTCTCACAGCAAGTGTGTTTCCTTGTTTGTTTAACGCCGTACCTGGAGACGGAGATGTGCAGATAGTCAAGTCTGGACCAGAGGCATTAATGATTGATATTCTGAGCAACGTTCGCCATCGAGAAAAAGTGACTTGCAACCAACCAAGTCACACTGCCTGGTCCTCCGATATTCTATAGTCGTCGCGAACGACGGGCAATAGCGTGTTTTAACCTGGTACCCCACCAGGCACATGTAGACAATCTGACACAGGTTAGAGACCCTCCACAGATGTGAGTACTACATGCACAATAACTGGAACATGTGTCACTTGCTCGCACGCAAGCTCGACCACCATGCCGCTCTCGCTCACTCACTCCATCACTCACTCACTCACTCACTCACACACACACCCATCCCCCACCAACCACCTCACCCACCCACTCACTCACTCACTCACCCACCCACCTACCCACTCACTCACTCACTCACTCACTCACTCATTCGCTCGATCGCTCACTCACTCAATAACTCACTCACTCACTCACTCAACCTCTCACTCACTCACTCACTCACTCACCCACCCAATCACCCACCCACCCACCCACCCACTCACTCACTCACTCACTCACTCACTCACCCACCCACCCACCCACCCACCCACGCACCCACCCACCCACTCACTCACTCACTCACTCACCCACCCACCCACCCACCCACTCACTCACTCACTCACTCACTCACTCACTCACTCACTCACTCACTCACTCACTCACTCTTTTCAGATTCATCCCAGGGGGAACAAGATGAAGAGGCAAACAACACCGAGGAGCAATGCCGGGATGTAAGTTATTCATATAGTGTGCCTAAGCAACATGATTATTTCCTTGTTTTTTTCACACGAGGCAAATGTGTTGCAGCTAAAACGTCTCCTCCTTAAATAAATAAAAATACGTTTCGTGATCTTTCATCGTACATTTATGTGTACGTGTTACATCGATCCACCTTTATATTGCATTCAGTAATGAAATACTGCGTTGGTCTGAAAACATCGACACTGCTCTCGGGTGAAACAATTGTCAGTGTGCTATTATGGAGAGGTGAGGTGAGGTGAGGTGAGGTGAGGTGAGGTGAGGTGAAATTGGGTTTAACGTCGCGTCCAAGATTATTGCACTTATATAGCGACGTGCATGCACGTGTGTGTGTTTGTGTGGCTGCTTGTAATAGTCCGGACTGATGCCGATTTATAGTGCTAGCTCACTGAGATACCATGCCGCAGTTTAACATGAATACCCCACATAGACACAGCATACTGACTCCGAGCCGACCAGTCCTTGTTTTAGCCCCTTAATGCCGAGCACTAGACAGGGTAACAACAAGTACCATCTTAAAACGTCCCTTGGTATGACGCGGCCGGGTGGACGCTCTACCACTAGACCACGGAGGCGGTCCTATCATGGAGAAATCATATTGTGTTTTCAGAGTAAGATCATGAATATCACTGATTAGATATATAATAAGTAGATAATTTATCTTGCCTTGTCAAATAGCACGACCTGAACAGTTGACATTTCCCCTCTTGGCTGCGTCACTCATAAAAATATGAACTTTGACAGACCATTCGATGATAAAAAACATGTTATTTGACACGTAAATACAAATGAGGTCCCATTGTTTTGGCCGAGTGAGACTGGTTAACAATGTTGCTTACAATGGGCATAAAATGTCTGATACTTCATCTCTAAACAGATTATTAAAAGAAATCTTCTCGTACAATTATCCACATGAATACGGAAACTCGGATGAAGTGGTTCTCAACGTATCTATTTTACCCAGACTTGACTTTAGGTCGACGTGTTTCTATGTCCAGTTTCACAGTCATTTGCTTTACTGATAAAAGAAAAAGGCGCGGACACTGACTCGATGCACAGGTTGGTGTTTACAATGATCATAATATAATATATTGTTTTATAATAATTACCATAGTTTAAACACAAAATCTGTTTACTGTTGATCATCAGATGGAAGCGAACGTCTTGATGATCTATCTGCAAGGTCCTTGAGAAACTAACTTGTCTCACAAGGACCAGTACCTTTTCAGATTTCAAGGGACCCATGAAGATAAGGGGTAGAATAGGTCTTCAGCAACCCATGCTTGCCGTAAAAGGCGACTATGCTTGTCGTAAGAGGCGACTAACGGGATCGGGTGGTCAGGCTCGCTGACTTGGTTGATGCATGTCATCGTATCCCAATTGCGTGGATCGATGTTCATGATATCAATGACTGGATTGTCTGGTCCAGACTCGATTATTTACAGACCGTCGTCATATAGCCGGAATATTGCTTAGCGCGGCGTAAAACAACAAACAAACAAACAAAACAATCTGATTTCAAGGAATTGGTTTAACATCTTTTGGGTATTTCTTCATCTACTTCAGGTTTTGAAGTACCTTCACGAAACTCAACAACATGCCAGTCTCCATGAAAAGATTCGCAATCTTGAACACCGTAAGAATACAAATGCTCACCAAATGCAACGCTTTCTTCGATAAACGTATGACGTGTTATGTATTTATGCATTTCCTTGAGAGAATCACCATCGTCAACTTGTATGATTGGTTTCACAATCTTATAAATGAGTAGTATGATTTCATCCAGTTCGTATTTTGCATGTTCAATACTTTTACTTTTATTTTTATTGATCCACTGTTCCAGTTTTGTTTCATATTAATTGTTAATACATAAATGTTATTGCAGTTATCTAACTATCCTAACGAACTGCGGAACCATTGACTTATTTCATGGACTGCCAAATAGTACCAGCTGAGGCAATGCTTATACTCTGATGTGGACAAAAGGTCATCAAGACGTTTTGTATGGCATATTTTTGGAAGGGACATTCTCGCATTCTTGCGATCTCATCTCGATCTTTGGAAACCAGCTAAATTCTCAAAAAGTGCGAGAATGCGGGATCGTGTGATCAATAGAACGCGACATATGCCCATTACAGTAACGAACTACGGTTATTGCGAACTATACTTGAGTTCGTTATAATCGTAGTTTACTGTATTCCATAGCATTGAGCTACTATTCAGGACTGATGGAAAAGCTCCATCTACCAAGGGTCTTGATCTGGAAGCAAATCCTTTGTCTTCACAGAACTGGAGGAAAAGGACTTTCAGAACAGACAGCTGCAAGAGGACATCTCACTGCTGCAACAGGTAAATCAGATCAGACTCGTGGATTCTTTAACGTGTCTTTAAACGTAAATCAATAGTAAGTGAGTGAGTATGGTTTTACGCCACTTTAAGCAATATTCCAGCAATATCACGACGGGGTACACCAGAAATGGGATTCACACACTTTGCACCCATGTCGGAATCGAACCCGGGTCTTCGGCGTGACGAGCGAACGCTTTAACCACTAGGCTACCCGACCGCCCCGTAAATCAGTGGAGGAAGTGGAGTAACTTCTTTAACTTCCAACACATTACCGTTTTTATATCCCCCTACCGAGAATTAATTTCTGAATCACTGAAATAAAACCAAGTAACAAAACCCTTTCAACGTTCATGAGAAGCCTTAAGACTACGATTCCAGCTATATCATGAGCACGTGATTATGCATCACTATCATTAATGATGATACCAGATGTTCGCGAACATGTGATATAGTGAGGGTGGGTTAGATCAGGTTATATTGTACTGATAGTATGATATAGCGAGGGTGGGTTAGATCAGGTTATATTGTACTGATAGTATGATATAGTGAGGGTGGGTTAGATCAGGTTATATTGTACTGATAGTATGATATAGCGAGGGTGGGTTAGATCAGGTTATATTGTACTGATAGTATGATATAGCGAGGGTGGGTTAGATCAGGTTATATTGTACTGATAGTATGATATAGCGAGGGTGGGTTAGATCAGGTTATATTGTACTGATAGTATGATATAGTGAGGGTGGGTTAGATCAGGTTATATTGTACTGATAGTATGATATAGCGAGGGTGGGTTAGATCAGGTTATATTGTACTGATAGTATGATATAGTGAAGGTGGGTTAGATCAGGTTATATTGTACTGATAGTATGATATAGTGAGGGTGGGTTAGATCAGGTTATATTGTACTGATAGTATGATATAGTGAGGGTGGGTTAGATCAGGTTATATTGTACTGATAGTATGATATAGTGAGGGTGGGTTAGATCAGGTTATATTGTACTGATAGTATGATATAGTGAGGGTGGGTTAGATCAGGTTATATTGTACTGATAGTATGATATAGTGAGAGTGGGTTAGATCAGGTTATATTGTACTGATAGTATGATATAGCGAGGGTGGGTTAGATCAGGTTATATTGTACTGATAGTATGATATAGCGAGGGTGGGTTAGATCAGGTTATATTGTGGCAATAGTATGATATAGTGAGAGTGGGTTAGATCAGGTTATATTGTACTGATAGTATGATATAGCGAGGGTGGGTTAGATCAGGTTATATTGTACTGATAGTATGATATAGTGAGGGTGGGTTAGATCAGGTTATATTGTACTGATAGTTTGATATAGTGAGGGTGGGTTAGATCAGGTTATATTGTAGTTTTAGTATGATATAGTGAGGGTGGGTTAGATCAGGTTATATTGTACTGATAGTATGATATAGTGAGGGTGGGTTAGATCATGTTATATTGTACTGATAGTATGATATCGCGAGGGTGGGTTAGATCAGGTTATATTGTACTGATAGTATGATATAGCGAGGATGGGTTAGATCAGGTTATATTGTGGCAATAGTATGATATAGCGAGGGTGGGTTAGATCAGGTTATATTGTGGCAATAGAATGATATAGCGAGGGTGGGTTAGATCAGGTTATATTGTACTGATAGTATGATATAGTGAGGGTGGGTTAGATCAGGTTATATTGTGGCAATAGTATGATATAGTGAAGGTGGGTTAGATCATGTTATATTGTACTGATAGTATGATATAGCGAGGGTGGGTTAGATCAGGTTATATTGTACTGATAGTATGATATAGCGAGGGCGGGTTAGATCAGGTTATAGTGTGGCAATAGTATGATATAGCGAGGGTGGGTTAGATCAGGTTATATTGTACTGATAGTATGATATAGCGAGGGTGGGTTAGATCAGGTTATACTGTACTGATAGTATGATATAGCGGGGGTTGGTTAGATCAGGTTATATTGTGGCAATAATATGATATAGCGAGGGCGGGTTAGATCAGATCATATTGTAGTTTTAGTATGATATAGCGAGGGCGGGTAAGATCAGGTCATATTGCAGTTTTAGTATGATATAGCGAGGGCGGGTAAGATCAGGTCATATTGTAGTTTCAGTATGATATAGCGAGGGCGGGTTAGATCAGGTTATTTTGTGGTAATAGTATGATATAGCGAGGGCGAGTTAGATCAGGTCATATTGTGGTAATAGTATGATATAGCGAGGGCGGGTTAGATCAGGTCATGTTGTAGTTTTAGTATGATATAGCGAGGGCGGGTAAGATCAGGTCATATTGTGGTAATAGTATGATATAGCGAGGGCGGGTTAGATCAGATCATATTGTAGTTTTAGTATGATATAGCGAGGGCGGGTAAGATCAGGTCACATTGTAGTTTCAGTATGATATAGCGAGGGCGGGTTAGATCAGGTTATTTTGTGGTAATAGTATGATATAGCGAGGGCGAGTTAGATCAGGTCATATTGTGGTAATAGTATGATATAGCGAGGGCGAGTTAGATCAGGTTATATTGTGGTAATAGTATGATATAGCGAGGGCGGGTTAGATCAGGTCATGTAGTAGTTTTAGTATGATATAGCGAGGGCGAGTTAGATCAGGTTATATTGTGGTAATAGTATGATATAGCGAGGGCGGGTTAGATCAGGTCATGTAGTAGTTTTAGTATGATATAGCGAGGGCGAGTTAGATCAGGTTATATTGTGGTAATAGTATGATATAGCGAGGGCGGGTTAGATCAGGTCATGTAGTAGTTTTAGTATGATATAGCGAGGGCGAGTTAGATCAGGTTATATTGTGGTAATAGTATGATATAGCGAGGGCGGGTTAGATCAGGTCATGTAGTAGTTTTAGTATGATATAGCGAGGGCGGGTTAGATCAGGTCATGTAGTAGTTTTAGTATGATATAGCGAGGGCGGGTTAGATCAGGTCATGTAGTAGTTTTAGTATGATATAGCGAGGGCGAGTTAGATCAGGTTATATTGTGGTAATAGTATGATATAGCGAGGGCGGGTTAGATCAGGTCATGTAGTAGTTTTAGTATGATATAGCGAGGGCGGGTTAGATCAGGTCATGTAGTAGTTTTAGTATGATATAGCGAGGGCGAGTTAGATCAGGTTATATTGTGGTAATAGTATGATATAGCGAGGGCGGGTTAGATCAGGTCATGTAGTAGTTTTAGTATGATATAGCGAGGGCGAGTTAGATCAGGTTATATTGTGGTAATAGTATGATATAGCGAGGGCGGGTTAGATCAGGTCATGTAGTAGTTTTAGTATGATATAGCGAGGGCGGGTAAGATCAGGTCATGTAGTAGTTTTAGTATGATATAGCGAGGGCGGGTTAGATCAGGTCATATTGTAGTTTTAGTATGATATAGCGAGGGCGGGTAAGATCAGGTCATATTGCAGTTTGAGTATGATATAGCGAGGGCGGGTTAGGTCAGGTCAAATTGCAGTTTTAGTATGATATAGCGAGGGCGGGTTAGATCAGGTCATATTGCAGTTTTAGTATGATATAGCGAGGGCGGGTTAGATCAGGTCATATTGCAGTTTGAGTATGATATAGCGAGGGCGGGTTAGATCAGGTCATATTGCAGTTTGAGTATGATATAGCGAGGGTGGGTTAGATCAGGTCATATTGTAGTTTTAGTATGAAATAAGTTACTCACGTTTACTGTGATAAACGTGTGCATTCGATTAGCCAGGTGTTTAAACGGTCAGCCATGTTGCATGATGAAGTGAAATCATTTTTAGCAAATTGCCCGTCCTCAAATGACAAGACAGATGATGCTCCTGCTATTTATTCCGCGACACTTCACTCCCTCTCTTGTCATGAAAATCATACATAAAATTCATATTTAGAAATGCAATACCTCTCAGTTTGTATTGCGACTCTTGTAAATTGTCTCTCCTCTTGCACTTTCCCATCGCTGACCTCATGGAGTAGGTGGCTCAGCAACAGCGTAGTCCCCGTGCTGTAATAACATAACAGTAGGATGTCCCAAAACATAATGAGGATATCTAAATAGCTCATGGATGGGTGGTCACCTAGATCTACTATCATCATTCAATTGTGGTTCGACTCGTCTGGTCCACTGGTTTTCTGGTCCAGGACATACTGATGTATCCGTGATAAGGTGGTCTGTCGTAAATCTCTTTTCTTCATGCGAGCGAGGGCACGGGTGGCCCAGTCGTCAAAGGCGCCGCGATTCGCTGTGCAGAGTTGCGTCCCTTGGGCACGCCAGAAACCTATGATTGTGGGTTCGAATACCGGTTCCCCCCAATTATGTTTCTAGGTTTGTCAGCACCATACCCGTGCTCGTGGGTTTCACCGAAGTGGTAAACGTCTGAGACCTGCATCACTTTGGGCTTTCCTCCCACATTAAGCTGACATGCCGTGATATAACTGGAATACTGTTAAAAGCGGCGTTAAACCCAACTCAATCACTCACTCTTCATGCAAGCAGGGGCTACTCAATGATCTATTGCGCCGAATATCTTGATGCGTCGCTAGGCCTTGCCAGAAGCCACTGTTTGTGACGGCCGTCTGTAAATAATCGAGTCTGGACCAGACAATCCAGTGATTGACATCATGAGCATCGATCAACGCAATTGGGATACGATGACATGCTTTAACCAAGCCAGCGAGCCTGACCACCCGATCACGTTAGTCGCCTCTTACGACAAACATGGTCGGGTTTAACGACAAGTGTGGGTGCTGAAGACTTATTCTACCCCGGATCTTCACGGGTCCAGGAGTCACTGATCGTAGGTCCGATACCATTTTTGGTTCTGATTATGACCCTTGGTATGTCAGCGTCATGTAACCAGTGCCCCTGTAGAAAATCCCCACTTGAAACCATGTTACCAACGACACATGTACAGTTTGTCAATGCCTTGTTGAAATGCATTTCACCCTTTTTCTCAACTAGAAAGAAGAAGAGCTGACCCAGATGTTGGACTCGGTGTCGTTGACGGACGAACCGCAGGGTAACGGCAACAGCTTTGCCTACAGCATGAGGAGGAACTGGAGGTCCCTGTCCAGTAGGATGAACCTCAGCAGACTGGGGAGGTCAGAGAAACGTAAACAGATCTCGACCGTGCTGAGCAACATCAAGAAAAAGATGAAACTACCGACAAGGCGAAGTAGAACGAAAGGTGACGACACTGATACTATGATTGTCCGGATAACTACTGTAGACGTGGACAGATTGAACATATTTTACAAATCCGAAAAAATGCTTTGTTTGTTTGTTTGTTTGCTGTTTGACGCCACACACAGCAATATTCTAGCTATTTGACGGCGATCTGTGAATAATCAAGTCTGGACGAGACAATCCAGTGATTGATATCATGATCCAGGCAATTGGGATTTGATCATATGCATTAAGCAATTCCGCGATCATGACCACCCGATCCCGTTAGTTGCCTCTTACGACATGTATGGGTTGCTGAACGCCAATCTTAACCCTCTGGATGCCGAGTTTTCTTTTTTTCTGACGCACATTTTCCTAAGATCTGAAAAGTTAAGGTTGTGCGTGAATTGCACTCACGCAGCACTGGATCTACCTCCGGCTATAAACTTATGCAGAGATGTAGAAAATTAAATTTCCTATCCGATGGTGTAAATTTAACTGCAAATATTAAATCGGTTTGAAAAAAAGACACTGCTAAGTGTTGTCCGAGAATTTATTCTGCGTTGAGAAACAGCAAATTTCGCCGCTTTTATCGTACATCGATATACTGTGCGACGATTGTTTTAATTTAGCTGTTTTACAGAAACTGTGAGCACACAAAATGCTGCCTTATATCTGAAAGCCACAAATTTATATCAAATTGGATTTATATGCTTATGTATAACGTAATACATTCAATACAAAAAAATAGCCTGCCGTAAATGACGAAAACTGATTTTCCTCTATGACGTCAAAAGACGACAGAGAGGTTACACATGGGTCCCGAAAATGTTCTTATGCAGAGGATTTGTGTATTTCTATTCAGCGTGGAATTGTCTCTTTACTTCATTTTTAACAATTTGAAATAGTAGTGGAAAACACGCTGTCAAATTCTTTGATAGTATAACGGCGCATATTCATATATATTCGCACATATGGTTTAAAATTGTTGATATATTTATATGTTTTAATTTATAACATTGTGGATTTGTCTCTTTATTTCAATTTTTAGATTTCAAATAATGGTGGAAAACACCTCGCAGTTCTGTAGTCATGTTGATATGCTCTCCACTTTTAAAAAGGAACCTCTTTACCGTAATATAATATGTCAAGTGTATATTTAAATAGGATGACATCTGACATCTGATGATCACTATCAAAGGTTAAGTAATTATTATCCTATTATATTACGGCATTACCATGTCAACATTATCAAATAATCAAAGTATATACATGAACGTTCTTCATATCTCATAATGTTGCCTCAATGAGTTAGCGATATAATTGAATTAAAATCAGTCGACCAATGTTTCCTTGCCGGGACGAGCTGTACATAAATTTCTCACCGTTTCGAAAGATGCAGCCATAAAATCTCACCATATCAGTCTTCTTGAGCACGACACTATATCTCTCACAGGACGACTTATGCTATGTGATTTAACATGATGGTGTTTTGTGTGTCTGTGCATTGTGAGAATACTGAACGCCTCTTTGAACAGCATTTAAGTTGAAATTATAATATCTCGTTAGCTTAATGTGTGAGGAAATTTAAAAAAAAAAATCAAAAGAAGTTTATCACCTTCGGAGGAAGGCAAAAGAAAATGGGAACTTGAAAATTGACTTTGAATTTTTTTTTATAACAAACGTTATCAAAACATTACAAGCTGAAAACACGGCAACATACGGTCCAAAACACAACTATGATATCCGTCTCAAATACATCACTATCGAATAAACATTTCTTGTTTGTTTCATTTTTAGCGACCATCGAACTTGGGGCATGCTTTCTTTTGCCCGGGTGCGTATTTCAGTCTTCATCTTTCCAGCTATTGTTGCATTAGTGAATACCGTCGATCAATAATGACGATGTTGCTTTCAGATGCTGTAGTGAAGACGGATGCAGAGACACAGACATCGAGTGCAGGTACAGCACCAGCAAAAGCGCACTGTACAATACATTTACCACCGTATCACAAATGTTACACCTACCACTGCATGAACCATGGTTAGGAGACAGACGTAATGCGTTTACAATGTAGTGCCAGGTTACCCGTAGATTAAGCCAGGTTGGAATTTTGACTTGAACGCGTAGAGTGAGGTTTCAAATGTTTAATTTAGCGCCCTTAAAATATACAAGTAACCTAGCTCTACATTGAAAACACTGATCAGTCTACCCTGGTTGTAACGCCAACATTTGTAAAGGACGATTTGAGCGTTTTAATCAGGGAAGCTATTCTACTTAGTCAAAATCAAATCATACATGAATACATGTACATTTAATAATGAGTTTCCTGAAATCCGTTTGAGTCAGGCCAGTCATTTGTAAAAACATCCCCATTGAAACAAGGGTTACCTCTAAAGCCAAGCCTCACTAAAGCTTTCAAAAGGTTTTATGGTAGACATGTGAATAACATTTACAAATTTGCCGCATCAGTGCTAAAAATGATGCCCGATGCAATTCCCTATTTTGACATGTACCGTGTGTTCCAGTGATTGTTCAGCTGAACAATTGACTTGCCCTTGCATGTGTTTGTGATGGGCACATCGGTGGGGAAGGATACGCTCACCTTTTCGCGAACACCAGGTATCATCATTGTTTGATGGTGATTCATAAAAAAACGTGCTCATGGAGTAGTCGGAATCGTGCAATCGAATCTGCTTTTAGCAGAGATTTCTAATGAATATGGACAAGGTTTTGTCGCTTGTATTATTTTCTTAATCAGCTTAAGAAAGGATTACACAACTCACCTAACTTTGCAGACTTACTGAATAATCACCTAATCTTATAAGCTGGTGTGCCGAAGTTAACCAGCTGGCAAATTAATACGCGAACTCTTTGGTGTGGGGGAAGATATTGAGTGAAGGGACATTGGTTGAGTTCAGTGGTTTTTCGGAATATAGCTTAGAATATGCTCACACATTTGTACATTATTATACTTCACTCGCATATGTTACAGGTACTTAGTAAGCCAACATAAAGTGGGTACCCTTAAAGACAATTAAGCACTCCTTGTAAGGTTTAGTCCTACACCGCGCGTTACTATTATGACGTCATATCGCTCATTGTGACGCAAACTATATGACATCACAGTCGAATATAGCAAAAGCTTTTTGTTGTACCTAAAATGCCCAAAATGTATTGCAACATATACTTTCAATTTTGTAATAACAGTAAATCTTTATATTGTAAGCTAAAAGTGTACATATAATTGTTAAAATACTGACACTTATTTACAAGGAAGAACCTTTCGTTAAATATTAGTTTCCGCGGTGTTGCGACCGTCAAATCAGCTGGTTAATCACATGTTGTTATATTGTGATTTGAAACCTCTGACCAATCACAGTAGAGTAATGTGTAAATTGTAATATGAATTTGGGAAAACATTCGAATCTTATACACAAAAAGCGTCCGAAAGCTGGGGTGTCCGGATTAGCGAGGTTAAACTGTATTGCTGCTTCATGTAGTACACGTCTCTAGTTGTAGATGTTGCCGTGCTGAAGGATAAAGAATCTCAGACTCCAGGTAAGGCTATGCGAAGGTTACACCAACACCTCCTACAGTTATCTCTTGTTTAACGCCACTCTCAGCAATATTTAAGCTATATGACGGCGGTCTGTAAATAATCGAGTGTGGACCAGACAATCCAGTGATTAACATCATGAGCATCGATTGGGATACGATGACCACCCGATCCCGTTTGTCGCCTCTTACGAGAAGCATAGTCACCTTTTAGGGCAAGCATGGGTTGCTGATGCGTTGAAGGGTGTAAGAAAGATTTTACGCCTATTTTGAACATACTCCACAAGAAAGGGGCTTGGAATTAGGTTCGAATCTGAATGTTTAGTGTCACGAGCAAAAGTTTTAAACTCGCGACTTCCGGACGGTTCTGTTCCAAGTTATTTGAAAATTACTCCTTAAACAAAGCGTAAGTATATGGTTTGTTTGTTTGATTGTTTGTTGTTTAAACACTACCCTCCGCAATATTCCAGTTATATGACGGCGGTCTGTAAATAATTGAGTCTGGACCAGGCAATCCAGTATATAAATATATATAAACCGCTGTGACATAGCTGAAATATTGCTGAGTGTGGCGTAAAACAACAAACAAGCCAAACCAGAGATACGGTCGATTACAGAGCTCCAGATAAGCTGCGTGTCTGCGTAAAATACGCATCAGAAATGCAGAAATACGCAGTAAAATATAACCCAAGCGTATCAAATACGCAACGAATATTACAGATACGCTACAAAAATAAAACGTGTGCGTATCATCAAAATATTGTGAAGTATAACCCTGGGTATTCGATTAGCAAATCAGCAACTTATTTTGAAATTATAAACGGGCATTCCGTCAACCTTGACGAACTCCACGATGACGTTACATCATGATCATTTGCCATCACACTTTCTTGTGGAAGTAACGTGGTATTTTTGAGTCCTATAAAGCTCTCGAACCCACACGACACCAGTTTGCAGGGACTAGATGAATAGTGTTTTTAAATATTTAACTTAAATACCAACATGTGTTAAAACTAGTGGTACAGAAATTTGAATACCCAGATAGAATTACTGATACCCAATGATTTTAAAATGCATGGGTAAAATACCCACAACACCAAAAACTTTTCTGGAGCTCTGAGTCGATGTTTGTTTGGATGTTCAGTGCTGATGTTGCAGGTGTGTATCCGGAGCGGGTGGCGGAAGCGGGTCCGGTGTACGTTCTGTCTGATGTCCAGGGGCTGTCGCGCATCTCTATCACGTGTAAGTGTTACCGGTGGATGGGGGATGAGGGATGATGCTGGATGTGTGGGGTTGGCATGACTAGGGTCCCAGTGGATGAAGGTGTTGTGGCACGTTTTGCACAGTTTAGTTCCTTAGTCCCTGAACATATGTTGAAATACAGGATCCACAAGACGTTCGTAGTGCTGCTGGTAAGGTGAAATAGAGAATCTCACCCGAGTGTCTTTTGATATCAAATATATCAACACGAATTGATAAAAGTGGAAAAATTCCGAGGCTTACCGAGGATTTTTGCCACTTTTATCAACGAGTGTTGATATATTTGATATCAAAAGACACTCGGGTGAGATTTTATTTATCTTGCAACATTATTCTTCCAACTTTTTCAATTTGTAGACAGTGATTAGCAGTGTCTTCAGTGTACAAAGTACTGATAACAGCTTCAGTAGCAGAGCCATTAATGTCATTTGATTGTGACGTCATGATAACCAGTGACGTCACAATGGTCTGCAAATCATTGTGATGTAATTTCATTGCAGCGATATCTACAGTGTAGATATTGCTTGATCTAATCCAAGCGATATCTCCTGTGGGAGCCAGTTTTGGATGATAAATGGGGTTTAACGTCGCGTTCAAGATTATAGCACACATATAGCGACGTAATGCATATGTGTGGCTGCTTGTACTACGATCACCTAATCGAATCCAACACTTGCATTTATTAGGCTTATAACACTAAATGCAAAGGTATGGCTAAACTGAAAGGCGGTTTTTACAGGTTACCAGGAAGCTTTTTCCAATCAATGAATATGACCAAGACTTTGACCCAAGTTGATTTTCTTAGGCTATCTAAATACTGACAGTACGCACACATGATAAACATTCATCTTTGGTCGCGGACCCTCTCTTAAATTTGGAAAAGTCTAGCTGTTTGTATTCATTCAAACCTTTCGACTGTGAGTGATCACTTCTGAAATTAAAAACGTTCACCCTGAAAGAAGTAAATATTGTTCTGTCATGATTCCAGGTTTTTTCTTTAACACGCCAGGAACGAGGAATTATTTATGATATATTATTTTTATAATTTTTTAATTAATTGTCCATTTTTTATGACGTTTCAAACCCTAACCCTATCCTAGCTATTTAATTTGAAACTACTGACACACTAGACGGGTCGGGGGTATTAGTGAGCCACGCTCACTTTTGCACTTGTGTATGTTCGTATTGGAAACAGGTTCCTTTTTAGAGGTTGCGGACTCACGGGGCTGTATCTGTTTCCAGGTCCCCACCAAGAGCTGGACACGAGTAGGGTCAACACCGAGTGCTGTCATGTCACTGATGACGGTCAGCTGAAGAACTGTCCACCCACTGACCATGGCCAGCAAGGACTACAGAGGTTTCAGAAATGTTTTGGGACATGTTCAACACCTGGCATCCCCCTGCCCACGACTACTGCCACGCCCCTTTCCCCAGCCCAATACTGGGAGGCCGAGGCCCTGGTAGATGTAAAAGACTTGGATAAGTTGTGGAAATGGAAGACGTGTCTGGAGATTGGCGTGGCGGAAGAGGAGTCGATGGACAATATGTCTCTTTACCGCCAGGCGGGTGTGTGGTGCATACGGGTGGCAGATTGTAAGCGGGTGATTTGTACTCAGATATGGATTAGAGGGAACCTTGTGACCTTCAATAACATTATGCCTCGATCTCCCGGAACCAGTGCGACCCTTAGCTTCGGCATTGCCCTGGACGTTCACAGAGGCAGAATTGCCTTCTTTGACCTGGATAGATACGTTGTTCTGCATAAGACTGATGTTGTATTCAAACAAACGGTATATCGTATGTTTAGTGTTCATCCTTTCTCAGATGAACTGTCTGTGAAGGTGAAACTCACCAGCGGAAATAACGTCGTCATGACTCAGCAAAAACAGGAACTGATTTGTAATGCACTCGCCCAATCATCCGTTGATGAATCCGAGTGCTGATTTTAGGACTGTGACGATACGTTTCGTCGCGACAGGTACATATCTCGATCGTAAATTCGTGATACGACACATGGAAACTGACACAAGCCATGACAGAAGACTCAGTTATCAGAGGGGGATGAATAGACGACCAACCGAATCATATTTGGTAGATTTGTATTAACTGATGGGAGTGGCTTGAAATCCCCTGTATGTAGTATTCCAGAAAAAATCAACAACATTTAAACAAATTTTACGTTAGCTGAACTGCCAGGCAAAAGAAACCATTCATTTGACCCAAAAAGAATTAAAGCAATCAAAAACGTAACTTGAAAACAGTCGACGAAACATAAGGTTCAAAACACAACTATGATACCTGTTTCAAATACATCATCGTCCAATAACTTGTTTGTTTCATATTTAGCCCTCAAACATGGGTGTAAACTTTCTTTTGCCCGACAGGGAATATTTTTCACCTGAAATATGTTATTCACCATCCCTTCTTTATTTTTCTACATCCCGAACTTCCGTCCAATTTCTTTTTAAATTGATCTCATTTTGATAAATGTGTAAGATGCCACCGATGCATACCGGACAGTTGGTATAAGATCATCGCATGTTCCTCCAGATGGTCGCAGGTGCAGGGTCATTTCATGATGCAAAGAAGCAGAGGATTATATTGGGAGGGTGGTCAAATTACTATTGCCATGGAGACCAGTGACGATAATTGATTTCGGATTCTGTTTGGCAAATAGAGAATGTCACTTTGTAAACAAACACAAACATGTTTCGTCCGAAAATCACCACAGACAACGATTTAAAGTATGGGTACTTAATATGGAAGTATCGTAAGATGTGTTTAGCTTTTATCAATGTGTGAACATATATAGAGGTTATCACGCGAGTGTGTTGGGGGATGGGAAATATCCTGCATTAGGAATAAACATTGTATTTAGCGAGCCTTGGAGAGCTAAATACATAGTGTTTATTCCTAATACAGGATATTTACCATCCCATAATACACAAGCTTGATAACCTCTTTATCATATAATGTCATTCTATAATTCTGTACTTGAAAATCGCTTTCCCTCTCTCACAAACATTGCGTAAACATTGCGAGTTTTCCTGCAATGCGCGCATTAATATTTACTAGTATTACGTCACAAGGTAAGTGATGTGTCAGTCGGACAGTGACAGTAGCCAATATAGTTCCAACTGAAATCTGTTTCTTATACAGTGGCGAAGCAACATATACGCAAAACAACAATTGATTTTACTTGCATCTCGCGGCAATCCATCGGTCTGTCCGCTAGAGTAACTGCCCTTTGTCAAAGGGTAGCTATCCTAACCCTAGTGTATGGGACGTCACGGCCACGGTCAGACGTTGTTGACAGTCGCTCTGTCCTGTCATAACGTTAAGAAGTGTAGTCAGATGTACACACAGCGACAAAACGAAACAAGGTAACAATTTAAACATATTTCGGCAAAATCCAACTATTTTAATTTGTGGAAAAGGTTTCAAGCCGCAGAGGTCTACAAGCACAGATATGGCTACTGATCCCGCTTGGCTAGGCCTAGTGCCCTCGCAAAATTGTTTCGAAATTTATGTCTCCAAAGTTGCCAAAACTTATAAAATGCCTTAGCGACGTCACAGTTAGACACTGATTTTAAGTATATTAGACTGTTCTTTTGACACTGATAGCAATTATCCCTGTAGTTTATCAAGATTCCCGATGGTTAATTCTGACTCGATTGCCGAATGACGAGGGCGACGCCATTTTTGTTTATAAACACTGAAAGTAGTCCCTACTTGACCTTTGATATTTGCATATCTATCCGCATATGACCCCAACGGATATCGTTTTTATCCGTAGGCTTTATCCTGCCGAGAAACCTACCCATTATATGATGAAATGCATATACCTGTTTCGTGTGGCATCGACAGATGATATCACGATACTCGGTGAACGTTCGTTCGGTGAATTGTTCCACCCCTAGGCTAGGTTCTTGTTTTTTGGTTCAAGGATTTTCATTGTGGAAGATTTGCTCAGTATGTCTACAAAATGGGTTGTGCAGTATTTTGGTAATCATCTTTAAAGTTTGATTTGGGCCAGACACTGGTAAAAAATATATAAAAACTTTGGTTGGTTTAAAAGAACGTACCGCGGCAATCACTGGCATTTTTATTGTCAAAGCGATCTTTATCGTCGTCAGTTCAAACAAACCTTGTCATTCTGATTTGATTTTCTTCTGATATTTCGAGTTTTAAGGTCGCTGGATCCGTGAACCAATCCCCAAGAATATAAGGCCATACATATTTATTTATAATATTCAATGTATTTTGCTTTGGTTATACAGAACTGTCATCTATTACTGAGTGGTACGTAGGAACGTTTCTGGCTCAAGAGGATTCATGTCATGATCTATCTCAAGGAACAAACCAAAAACCAAAAACATAAATAGAAGTAATAAATAAAGTGGAGAACCTTCACTTACATTGGTAAATTCTTACTGAAATTCGAGGTCACTACACTGTCGTCAGTGAAGGTCGAGGTCACTATACAGTTGTTATAAAAATGTTCTGCCACCATCCACGATTTGAGTGAGTTGGGTTTATCGCCGTTTTATAACAGTATTCTGGTTATATCACCGCGTGTCAGCTTGATGTGAGAGGAAATCCGTACTGATGCAGGTCTCAGACGTTTACCACTTTGCTGAAAACTACGAACGGGCATGACGCTGACAAGCCAAGGGTTATAATCAGGGCGAATCTGGGACTCGAACCCACGATCATAGAATGCACAGTGAATTACAACGCGTTACGCGTTTTGGCCAACCGTGCCTCGTCTTCAAATTGACTTGAACTTGACTTAGCTCAATCACACCGTCCAGGAATGGAGGGAGAGATCTCATGCTTACTTGTCGGGTGCCCGTTTGTAGACAAACCGATATTCAGGTTACACGATAACCGCGGGCAATCGATAGTCTAAGAGCAACATAAATAATATATAGGAACACCTGGTGTCAGTACTGATTTTCAGTGATCCATTCATATAATATTTTTTTAATTTTCAACGCAATTTTACCTTTTACGCTCAATAGAATCTGTTCAGGCGGATAATCAAGACTGGTTGTTCTCTAGCGTTAAAGTTTGATATTGACTTTTATTACTATGCACTGGTTACATACATCTCTCAGAGAGTAGTCGGGTGGTTACAGCGTTCAGCGTAGATCCGGGTTTCTTTTTGGTGTCCTCCGCCGTTTGTTTGTTTGTTTGTTGTTTAACGCCGCACTCAGCAATATTCCAGCTATATGACGGCGGTCTGTAAATAATCGAGTCTGGACCAGACAATCCAGTGATTGACTTCATGAGCATCGATCCACGCAATTGGGATCGATGACATGTATCAACCAAATCAGCTAGCTTGACCACCCGATCCCGTTAGTCACCTTTTACGACAAGCATGGTCGCCTTTTACGGCAAGTATGGGTTGCTAAAGACCTATTCTACCCCGGATGTTCACGGGTTCCGCCGTGGTAGTACTTGATCACATGAGTACAGCTTAAAGCAGCGTGAAACACACTTTCAGATCGACTAATGGTTAGGTTCAAATGAGGAATCGAATTTAATTACGCTGAAAATACAAATATTCTAATATAATTAATTGTAAACCCACAAACCATTTTGTTGTATTCTTCATTTCACAGCATCATTTCGACATGCTAATTGGTGATCACCCGCGATCTGCTTCTTCGTGCATTGTACTCTTTTTGTTGAGTTTTTGTGTTATTTCTTTTCTTGTTGTTGTGTTATTTCTGTTAATGTCATTGAATTGTTATAAAGACCCAAGCGTTATTGATTATACCTCGCCCACAGCGACGGCTGTTTTGAAGTGAAAATAAAATGGTATAAAAAATGCTCCAACGGTGTTTATACTTTTCCCCGAACAATCAACACACCTTCCAGGCTGACAATGGTATTATCAATCTTCAAAACACACAAACCTGATTATGTTGACATGCCTATCTTATTCAAAGGAACCAGTTGTCGCTACATAAACGATGCATGTAGCAAGATGCGGCATGGTTTAGGAAAGATAATTATTTCCTGTAGTTGTTGTGTAGGTGAGACGAAAGACGTTAAGATGAAAGAGTTATACAGGTTCCTTGATACAATGCGGCGTTATACGTGAACGTAGACTGGATACAGTGTAATACATGCACGTAGATACCGCAATGTTGTTTTGGGCATGTTGATGACGCACAAGTGGAATTATGAGCACACGTTGACTGAGAGATAGGGCGCGTTTTAGTTCAAAAGGAAATAATTCTTTTTTATCTATTATTCAACCAAATAATCAACAGAAATATTTCTTGTACCTATTGTTCAACCAATTGAATCATATAGGTGAATCAAACACCTTCTTCTTAGAATTGCACAAAAAGTATAATTAACAGTTTCTAACCTTTTTAAACATTAACCACGTAAGGATAAAACCGTCATCTGTGAGAAAACATAATAAATTCGATCTGTAATTATGCTTTTATCTTACGCATGGATAAAAACGTGCGCCTTTTCCCTTTTTCTAACGTGCAGCTGCATTCCATTGAGGTCGTCATACAGTGCTATGACGTCACGAAACATGGTTACAACGCAGTGACGCCGTACTTAAGCGACATGTCGTAAAATGGGAATTAATTTACGTTTTGTTTGTTATATAACCCCCTTTCTTTGAGGCTACAACTGAAAGACAATGATTTTCGTCTGCACAGCTTCATTCAGGCGATATCATTAACAAAATATGTTGTTAGATGTCATTTTGAGTATCGCAGTGAACACAAATAAATTTTACTTACGAACACACACCCTTAACAGGAAAGTTGTTATTCAGGAAACAATGTATAGGATTCTGCCCGGACAGTATACAGATAGAGAATCGCCTCCAAGTATCTTTCGATATCAAATACTCGTATATAAACACGAGTGGATATAAGTTTTGCCGAGGAGGTTTCAAAGGCATGATGTTTAGATTCTAACTAGCTTCATTGGTAGAGGGATGAGTGGGGATAGAGGGGATCGCTACCGATGATGTCACAATGTTCTTCACAGCATTGATCACCTGTGCAAGCCAGTTCTGGACGGTAAAATATCTTTCCGGTACTCGTAATGCTGGAGATCCCATCAAGTCTGTGCCAGCACAGGTTACCTTGTACCCTTGTATACTCAACTGTAGTCTGTCTTACAGACCCTGATACAAATATATATCAAATGCAGCCCATGCAAGTCTATAATGTTTGGCAAGTCTAGATCACTGCAGTATCACTGAAAATGAAGAGAGTCACTGGGCTCCTTTTTATTATATTTTTATTAAGATAACTGAACAACTGTTTTTTTTATGTACGATATGTTCATTTCAGAGACTAGATTTTAGTCTAACTCAACTGTACCGTAGTAGCCCCAAATCTAGACTTTGCACTGTTAGGTACCCCATCTCGTAACCCGGCTACGCGACCCGCTGCTAAATCATGCATATTCATTCCTCTCATAACGACCCAGGGGACAAGCAGGGTTACTAAGCAGAGTTGCTTCCCTAAGGCTTGGATTCGAATCTCTGTTCGCTGTAAATATGTTCATGTTAGAACCACACCCGTGGGTTTGACAAGGCTGTTAACGTCTAAGGCCTCCATCACTTCCGGCTTTTCTCCCAGTCGGCATGCCTTTGTTACACTGTAGGCAATAGGGGAGCCTTAAGTGTCTTGCGGGATGCATTCAAGGTCGAGACGGTTTGGATGGAATTGTACTGGAACGGTATTGTGATCAGTTGTCAGGTTTTCAGTAGATGGTTTCAGCTATCGATTGCCTGGAAACCTTAAAAAATATTCCTGTACCGAAGAAAATCGACTCTACTTCACTGAATTGTTTTTAACCAGTTCTTCTTACATCTATGGCA